ACAATCGAACGCCTTTGAAAGTTTTTCAATGTCAGTTACGAAGTTCTAGCCAAGTTCTAAGATTTTGCCCGGCAGTAGAAATATAAGCTAACTTATTCATCATTGGTCGACATCCCCTCAGCGATTGTGTTTTCTTATTATTAAATTTGGCGGTCTTAGTATATTTGCATAATACATTTTTGGGGAAACTATTTGAAGTCATAGAAGCATTGCAAATACACAAGGTGCGGCATTCACCTTGTATAAACTAATATACGCAATGTAAAACTAAGGTAACTAAAGACTTAATTTACTTTTATGGCTTCAACACCGTGGTTGTTAATTATTGTTTATGTAATAATAAAGCTTGTCTATGGTATAAGTAGTAAAATTAAAATGATTTATCTACCTATCTATTATCTATTTCCTCAGAATTATTGCTAACCATATGTCTATATTTTTCGCTTCTCTTAGTCGTTGCCTGTTAGATTCTATGAAGTGTCCAGATATTTTAACTGAGTAGTATATTTAGGCTCGGAACACACCTAGTGTGTTTTGCGACAAAAATGTTAAAATTTTTATATTTTTGACATTTTCCGGGAAATTTTAAAAAACTTTTAGTGCCACTTATTTATTTCCTGGAGATTTCTCTACGGTGTATCTAAACCGTGCAGTGTTGCCACCTCCTACATTATCCGTATTCAACATATTATTTTTATTATTACTATTAGTAATAAAACAGAGTATATTCAAGTTAATTATTTTGCCTTCCAATTATTTTCTAGATATGGCAAAAATAACTCTTAATATTGCCATATTACGAAGTGGTTCGATAAAACATTTTTAAATATTTAAAAAAAACTTTGTAAAAAATATTTCGTTGTTTTGTCAAAATTGTTTTTATAGGCAAATGAAACCCGTGGCATATTGGATAAATTGTAATTTGCTTGTCTATCTTATAATAATTAGTATCCCATTTTAGTTTACTGTTATTAATGTACACCATTACAAGAGACAAATCTCCTTTATATATTTGTATTAATTAATACATACTGTTTGTTTTACCCTTTCAATGAGAACTAAACTGGGTAAAATTATTCCTTATGAGGTATTATGGCTAATATCGGAGCTATAGTAGAATGGAGTAAGCTTATACAACATGGTTATACTGAGCTCACATAAAAGAAAATACCAACGTGTTTATCGGAATTCACTCGGAACATCAAGACAAAATCAGATTAATCGTATACGAACGACACAAAGTTTATTATATTCGCACTTATTTCTGAGACCCTCAGATTCTGGGAAATTGAATAACTTTGCTGCATTATCGCATGACCACCAGCAAACCCCATAAGACGACGCATGGTGTCATTGATTATGACGTGCACCCAAAGTTGTTTTTAATTTCCTTTAACTAAAGGTTAATAACTAATATTTTATCCTAAATTAGTAATAGCAACTATCTACTTTGAGAAATATGAATTATTCTATCTATCCCATAAATCCTTCTCTCCTGCTGCCATGCCACGTTGAAGTTCAATATTGAAAAAATAGCCGAGAAAAAAATATATGAATTATTTATGGCTAATATCGGAGCTATAGGAGAATGGAGTAAGCTTATACATTTTCCACCAGGAAATCGAAACTATTTCCTCAATGTCAGGAAAAAGATGATGAACGCGTATCAACTCTACATGAGTTTCCGAGATACATGCTTTAAGCTTATCAGATCTGTGTCAATGCAAAATGAAAACACAGACATGAAGGTAAAACTACATAAATAATTATTAAATTGACTAGAGTTTGGGTAAAAATTATTATTCATATTATTAGATTTTATGATTACCTATATTTATTAACTATTAGGAGAGTTATATATCTATATTTTTTACATTTACATTATAATGTTTTTTTTTTTTTTTTTTTTTTTTTTTTATATATTTATTATAGTATACAGGGAGCTTCAAAACAAATGCGAAACTTAGGTTTGTTCAACAGCGGTAAGTTTGCTTATAATCAAAGCAAGTCAACCACAGATATCGCGGCATACGGTGAGGGTCGTTTTTATTTTTATCTGAAAACGAAAAGATAGACTATCGGTTTATGGAGCAGCGAGCTGCGCCATGAAAACACAGCTGGGTGAGTTTTCATTTTTTAAATGATCCGGCAACAATATAACGCTGAAAATAATTTAAAGAAATTTATCAAACACATGTCGCTTTAATTTGATTAGCTTAGTTTATGAAACTTTTATCTCTTGTGTTTTTGATAAAACTCACCGATTTGAAATTAAAAATAAAATGTAAAAGCATTACATGTCAGGACAAAAAACATTTTTAGATTAAAAATATAGTGATAATAACGATAATAATATCTAGATAATAATAGAAAATAAAAAAAAAAAATGTCAAATAAATAATATTAGGAACATCCTAAAAAGTAACAGCGGCCGACTAGATTTTTTCCTAAAAAATTACAGCAGCCCACTAGACTCTTTATCAGAAAATGTTTTTGTCCTGACATGTAATGCTTACATTTTATTTTTAATTTCAAATCGGTGAGCTTTATCAAAAAAAATAAGAGATAAAAAGTTTCCAAAACAAACTAAACTATCCAAATTAATTTTTTTGCATGTGTTTGATAAGATTTTTCTTTTTAAATTTCGTTAACAAGAATGATAGGGGTAGTTTATTTCAACCCTTCCACTCATTTTAAAAAGTGAAAATTACCAGAAAGTGTGATTTCATAACAGTAATGCTAAAATTTTATTAGCTCCATTGTTTTCAAGATAAAAAATAAAAACATTATTTTTCCGCCATCTTTGTACCGCAATATCTCCCTAATGGTTGACTTTTGACCCAACGTTTATGAAGCAAACTACCCTTTATTTTGAACAAGGAATCACCCCCTGAAGTTTTTCGCATTTGTTTTGAAACACCCTGTATATCTAATAAGTCATTTGAATTTTTTTTATTATTCAGAAAATTTTTAACTACGCTGTTTTAACTTTTTCCTTTATTAAGAGGGAAGTAATATATGCTCACACAGAGAAAAACTTAATGTTATTAACAATAATTATGCGAGACAGATCCATGTTAACCTTATCCAACGTTTATAGTGAGAACCACACTAATAGACATTTAAAAACCCCTATAACTTTTTATTTAACTTTTTGCGGCACCTCGTTTATTTTACCACACCGACTGTTCCCATACATATTAGCAATCAGTGACCCTGTATATTGAATTTTTGTTTTTTTTTTTTTTTTTTACAAAATTTTATTTTTGACATTGATCGATAACCGCCAATAAAAATATCGAAACTAAAAAAAATAACCCCAACTCAAATGACAATTACCAGAAATATTTGCCAGAAACGTTGCAAGAAATAATGTGCAGAAATTTACGAAATGTCAATAATGACATTGATCGATATCCTTCAATAAAATTATAACCTCAAACCAAATGACAATTGCTAGAAACAATGTATAGTCTGTCCAACGAGAAGATCCTTGACAGTGATAGATCTGTCTGTCATTTTAATTTCAAAGTAGTTTATTTTATTTTACAAAGAAATAAGTTGGTACAACTGGAACGCATAGCAGGAAATATTTAAAATTTGATTGACAAGATGAAAAGTGATTACTTCAAAATATTGTGAAAAAAACTGTATAAAACTGAAAAAATGTAATCGAGTTGTGAAAAAAACTGTATAAAACTGAAAAAATGTAATCGAGTTATTTTATTTAATAAAAACGGTATGTGTTAATACAAAACAAACAAGAACAAGACACTACATACCAAAAAAATATAAAAAAGAACTATTATTTACTTTCATGCTTTATGAAAATACCTGCATTTATGATTATATTTATCAATATAACTTTTGTACAAATACAAATTTGTAATATCTCCACAGGAATAAAATAAACAACATAGGTGTAAATAAAACAAAATTATTTTTATTAATATTAACACCTACCAAATTTATACCTTAAAGGCTGATTAATTAACTTTTTTAAAAAAAAAACACTTTTTTTTTTTTAAACCAATACCTTTTGACATTATTATTTTTCTGGTAGTACTAAAATCCATTATTTACCTATCGTGTGATGTCGATATTTTACAGCTACTCCAGTTTTTAGCACGTGTTTAGTTTGATCCTTCTCTCATATACGAGATGCACTTATCTACGACGAAATGGTATACAAACTTTATCGATGGCAACTTCATTGGTGTTTAAGACTTTCTGCCTGGGCAGCGAGTATTACCCATAAACTGTGCTCTGGGTCTACAGTTAATTTTCACTGATTTTTCCCTCCACTTAACTCGCTAAAAGACACAAAACTCACGTAATAATACGAATCAAAATGCATCATCTTCCAAAACGCAGGGTATTTAACAAAAACAAAAGTTGACACAAAATTATAACCTATAATTTGGCAAGACTTTGACAAGCGTCAAAAACGATTTAAAAAATCTAAAGGCGAGTTCACACGCATCGGCGTCCGTTTGTCGTTCATCGTTCCGTCAAACCAATAAAATTGAAATACGATCTGTCATTTTTTAAATAAACCCAGGTTACCAGGAAAAACGGGAAACGTCTGGAGTACTTATTTTCATGTGACCAAGAAATGATTGATTGAGCATTAAGCTTCTTTAGGGAACGTACGTTTTCAAGACAGTTTTTTCTAACTGTGTCCAAAATATACTCGTAAAAAATAAAATCTAAAATTTCTGTTTTCCGTCATATTTCTAACAATTTTTGTTTTCGGGTTTTGAACAAAATTTTCAGCGATCGGTCATATTTTAAGGATATAGGATAATCGATCAAGGAGTTGACCGTAGAGGAATTACATTTCATCATCATTTTTTATTCAAACAATTTACCCAGATTATTATGGTGTGGCCTTTTTCACATACTCTCTTGTAGTGGGTCCTTAGATTAGAATAAAAAGTTGGTCCATTTTGTCTATTGTTGGCTATGGCCCGCATAGTGCAGAAGTGTAGTCATCCATGTTAATTTCCTAATATCAATGGACCCTCTCCAGAGTTCGGTCTTCTGTTAGGTCTTTTAATCTCCGGTGGGATACCATCGCAGGTGTCCTGGCACATTGCCATTTTGAGGGCATGTTGACTTTCATGTTGGATGACATCTATTACTCTGAGGATGCTTTTATCGTAATCCACTCTGATTCTTGATATTACACGAGCGCATTTTGTTCCACTGACACGTTGTGCGACCGTTTGTAAATGGTGCCACGTCGCTATGCATGTTTTAGAATTGAGTGGGAAGGCGGGTTAATACTGCGTACCTTATCATGATGCTATGCTTGTGTTTCCCGCCTTTCTTCGAGTTCATCGACTCATTATAACGCAGTCCAGCTTTGACAAAAAAGCCAGTCAGCTAGGACGGTTTTAAGAGGCGGTAGTTTCCTCCAGCCTGCCAAATTATTCAGTCGTACCAAAGGACCATTGACACGAATGTTGTGGATCGTCTACGGCGCACTCAGTGTTGAGGCGTTCTTGTGTTTCCCAGTTTTCCCCACAGAACTGCAATTCGCCGCCGTTTCTTCTTAAACGTATTCGAAACGTACTGAGGTGTTCGTTGAAGAGAATTTGTCTTGTTAAAAACCCCATAATAATCCGATAAGATTGTTCTTACTTGAAATCCAGGAAGATCTTTGATTTTTGTCTGGTCGTAAGCTTCTTCAGAATACCTCTCTCGCAGTGTGTGCTTAGACTGTTGCAATGCAATTCATCATTAGGGTTTGTCGGATGTAGTGTCTTTCATGTTCTTGAGTTCCGCCTTTAGCTGGTTACCACTTGGGAAGCAGAACGGTTCTGGTTGAGTTAGTGGAGTGTTCGCTCCTTTTATTATTAGTGGAGTGATGTTCGCTCCTAGCTAGATCATCTTGCGTTTTTCGTTGCCTTCTATCCCTTCGTGAGCAGGGCAACCAGAGTAGGAGGACTTTGTTCTCTTTGCCTAATTATTCGAGTGCTTGATCTATGTATTCTGTTGACCAATTTCGAACTTGATTTGGATACTGAGTTGTTATCGCACTCTTTTTAACGCGCTGCGTTGACTATCCTACAGATAGATGCCTATTTCTTGTCTTCGATAGGTTCCTATCTAAAGATAAGTTGACTGCATTCTTCGACCTAGCGTTTTAATGTTCCTGCCTGGTAGGATGCTAGTGTAGGTGCGTCCTATTTGGTTCGGAGTATTAGTTCACAAACGACTTCCGATTCCCTGTTTCGCCCGCTTTTGTTTGGAGACGAAGCATCAGTATCACCACACGTTATGCGGTAGCGGTCTGTTTGACTGCTGAGCAGATCGTTTTCTTCTTTTTAATTGCTTCCATACGTTTACATTATGGTGTTTCTCAAAGTTGTACATTCTTGGTATATTATCCACTGGGAGTTGCAGGAGTGGCATTTCTTTTTTGAGGGTGTTCCAAGCCCCTGATCTGAGAAGTCTAAAAATATTCTAATTCGCATGCATAGATCATGATTGATAATACACATTGGTCGAATGTTTTCTTCGTTAGATAGAGTGGCATTCTAGATTTAAATATGATTGAGTTTCTTCCATAAGTATACTTCATGCTAACTTGAGGAATGATAATCGATGATAATTTTGGCAGGTCAAGCCCTAGACGTCATTTAGTAAAAATTGACAAAAACTTGTCAAAAATTAATACTAATTATAGAAAAATTAAAAAGAATTTGACATTTCCACACAAATCTATATATTTCCAAAATATCATGTTATCTCGAATTTTAAACTACACCATTTAAAAATATGTTTTACACACATAAAAATAAATTACAACTTTTTTAAGGCAGTACGCGTCATTAAAAAATAAAGAGGTGTACGGGTCAAGTAAATGCATGACGTCTAGGGCTTGACCTCGCCAGATTATCATCGATTGTCATTCTCCAGCCGTCTTTGACGCCGTCTTTTTCGATCATACGGTATTTCATGTCATTAAAAAAAATACTACAGAAAGGTTTATTTCTTTCAATACAAAGTTCTAAGTAAAAATAATACTAAAATCAATTTGGCTTTGTTTACTCTTACTAATTAAAAGGAAACAAAACAAATCTCTTTTCGTAAATGTTTGTTGGTTTTCCACATAACTGGCGAGCGAAAAAAATTAAAAATCTAAAAATACCGTCGTGAAGGGAATAAACAAAGATCCCGTCAACATCTGCACGTACCGCTAGGCACTCTGAAGTTCAAGCGGAGATTAAGGATGCCACCAGAAGTCAAGTAGGCTTCGCTCTTCTTTTTGCCCGATAAGAATAATAAATTTGCTCTTAAAAGCACATAAAACAAGAATTTCTTATACTTTTGTTTTATATTGGATAAAATCGAAACTTTAGATTTCGCTAGGTACCCAAAGTATTTACAATGATAATATACCTCATAAAGTTTGTTTTACAGTCACTGATAATAGCACCATTATATGAGATTCTCTAGTTATTTATGTATCACGGGATTTATATGGGTGTTAATTACCGACGGCAAAGTTTCTGTCCCGAAAGCCAATAAATTGCTCGAAGTTATTAAGACTTTATAATTCCCGTGGTATAGAGATATTTCTTACTGAATTTAGTACATTTTGTCCCATTTTAAAACGACACAAATGTTGCATTTATTAATCTTCCGATATATTTCTATTAACGCTGCTGATAGGAACTTTGTTTAATGACAGGTTACTATTGTATTTAACGCTCTGTTTATAAATTGACAGTTGTTAATTTTTTTGTCAAAATTCACGTTTCCATTAAAATGTTGGAAATATTTAAAAAGCTGAAGAAGCACGACAAGCTTGACCTCCACCTAAAAGTGAATCAATTTACCAAAAAGAAATATAAATAATACCTCCAGTAAAAAATATTGTAGCAAGACAAAAAAAATATTGTAGCAAGGGATGTCGATAAAACTGTTGTCTTGTAAATTTATTATATGTAACATTAATGATGTAAACAAATTATTAGATACTAGCGTGTACCCGCGACTTCGTTCGCGTCGAATTAATCATTTGTAATGGTGATGATAAAGCAAAGCAAGAATTTCCATTAACATACAAACTGGATCAAATTTTCTCACATTTATGTCAGCATGAGAAAAAACAATATGGCGATATTATTATATAACTTGGTAATGTTTGAGGGGTAGTTTCATCTCGTTGGAATTTGACTTTCGAAAAATCCGTTTGCCAAAAATAAGCTTTTTACGTCAAGCAGTTTAAGCAGAATAGTGGTTAAGAAATTACACAACTTTTTGGAACACCCTGTATGATTTTTTAAAAATTTCAAAATATGTAAAAAAACCAAATAAATTATGATTGTCCAAACGTTTTCCCGAAAGACTAACCATTTTTTAAATAACAAATATTGTAATATTTAAGGGGCATTTTCACCCTCTTGGAATTTGAGATTCGAGAAACCCCTCCTTATCGAACCTCTACACCCCACAGTCAATCCGTTTGCCAAAAATCAGCTTTAAACGTCAAGCAGTTTAAGCAGAATCGTGATTACTCAATGATCATATTTTATGAAACACCCTGTATAAATTTATAAAAAAAAATTAAAATATGTAAAACAACAAAATAAAATATACGTGTTTAAGAGTTTTCCGAAAAACTCCGGTTTTTAAATAAAAAATATTTTAATATTTGAGGGATAGTTTCACCCCCTTAGAATTCGAGTTTCGAAAAATCCCTTCTTTTCGAACCTCTACACCCTAAAGTCAATCTGTTTTCCAAAAATCAGCTTTTTACGTCAAGCGCTTTAAGTAGGATCGTGATTAATCAATGACCAGATTATTCGAAACACCCTGTATACATTTTTAAAAAATCTTAAAATATGTAAAAAAGCGTTTTTTTCGGAAACTTGACCGTTTTTTAAATAAAAAATATTGTAATATTTGAGGGGTGGTTTCACCCTCTTGGAACTGGAATTTCGAAAAACCCCTTCTTATCGAACCTGTACACCCTAGAATCAACCTGTATGCCAAAATTGAGCTTCTTACGTTGAGTGGTTTGAGCAGGATCGTGATTAATCAGTATGTCAGTCATTTAAGGATTTCATATATTAGTATAGATATGAGTGTCCATTTTTATATTATTACTCAAAATCTCTATTGTGTTTTAAGGGGTTACCTATAAAAGGGAGAGGGAATTATGGCATCTTAATTCCCATTAATAATGTCCCAAACGAATATGACACTACTGGTCCAAACAAGACGATATAAGCTTATATTAATTCAGTACGAAACAAGTGGATTTATTTGATTATGTACAATTTATAAACATTAGCGCTAGTTTTTCTTTCGATTTTTTTTGAATTCCTCTTAAAGGTTTCTCACTATACCTTCCGTATCAGCTATCTTCCGTTTCCCTACCGTTTACATCATAAAATATTATATCATGTAAATGACTAGGACAATGCATACTATCCGTTCCGTTCCGTTTCCCTTCCGTTCCATATCCTTTCTTTTCATACATTTTTTTTGCCGACGGACTGAAGCGTGTCGGAAACATCGTTGTCAAGTTCTTATAATTGTACCATCTCTGTTAACATTTTGCTAATATTTATTATTCTTTCACCTTTTAATTAAATCTATTATCCTTTTCAAAAGATACACATTTTTAAAATAAAACTTTCGTAATGATATAAATTGTACAATAAAAAGTATGGAACTGATACGGAACGGAAGCTTACGTATAGTGTGAATACGATCAAAAATACGGAACGGATATGGGATGGATATGGAATGGAAACGGAAGGTATAGAATTATCACTCACTACACTATTTCGTATCAGCTACCTTCCGTTTCCCTTCCGTTTACATAAAATATTATATCATGTAAATGAATAGTAAAATACACATTAATGTTAATTCTCCATTCCATATCCATTCCATATCCGTTCCGTATTTTTTGTTGTATTGACGCTATACGTAAGCTTCCGTTCAGTATCAGTTCCATATTTTTTATTATACAATTTATATCATTACGAAAGATCTATTTTAAAAATTTGTATCTTTTGAAAAAGGTTAATTAAGAGGTGAAAGAATAAATAAATATCAGCAAAATTTTAACACAGCTGGTACAAATGTAAAAATTTGACAACGCTGTTCCGATAGGCTTCAGTCCGTCCGCCAAAAAAATGTATGGTAGGAAAGGATATGGAACGGAAGGGAAACGGAACAGATAGTGTGCATCGTCCTATTCATTTACATCATATAATATTT